AACTACCACAAACCGCAGCACCGCCTGCTCCTAACGGCCCGGTGTGGGTTGGACCCAGAACCCTAAACCCCTAAACCCCTAAAGCCCTGAGCCCTAAACGGTTGGTCTGGCGATCCCGAGCCTATCACTCGTGGGAGCTCCCACACGCATATCGGGGAGTCAACAAAGAATTCCCAAGAACCTTACTCGCCTAATGCTGACCTCTCACTCTGAACGGCTGGCTTTAGTCAAAGCCGGTATCCCATCCTCCCCTAAAGCCTGAACCCTAAACCCAGCCCCTGTATAAAACGAAGCCCTAAACCCTGAGTCCGAAAACCTGAAACACGAAATCCTAAGCCGTAAATGCCCTAAACCCTGAACTCTAAATCCTAACCCCGAAACCCTAAACCCGCAAGCCAGAAATCCTGAAAAACCGCGACCCTCTAACCGAAGCTTTAGCAGGAGCCGCAGTCCCGGCAGTGCAAGCCCTGCCCTCTAGGCTGGCGCCTACAGGGCTTTAGGGGCTTCAAGGGCTTTTAGGGTTTAGGGCTTAGGGTTTAAGGTTTAGGGCTTGGGGCTTAGGGTTCAGGGGTCTTAGGTGTGGCGTTTAGGATTTAGACAGTAGGCTTCTGGGTTCTGAGGCTTCAGAGACCAAGGCTAGGGTGGAGGTTTCGGGTCGGTCGGGTAGTTTCAGAGCGGGGCTTAATTATGGTCTTCTTTAATCGTAGTTACAGATTGTTCCTTGATTAATTTATTACCATTATTATTTAATATTTGTCTTTTTTTGTCAATCGTTTGTCTTTATTTGTCTTTCTTTGCAAAATTTGTCTTTATTTGTCCGGATTTGTCTCTTTACTCTTTTGTCTCTTTTTGTCTTTATTTGTCTTAATTTGCCTGGACTGCCCAAAAAGTCCTATGAATCCAAGTCCCCGGAATCTATGTCGTCGCAACCGGTCAATGATATTGTCAGTATTATGATGACTAGTGTTACAGTATTACTGCTATTATGTTTGTAATTGTTATTGTTTTTATTATTGTATTTTTAATTTGTATTTTTGTTTGCTATTATCATCATGATGATGATTGTTATTGTTGTTATTATTACTTTTATTGTTATTATTCTGATTGCTATTATTGTTATTATTATTATTGTTATTATTAACTATTGATTTAATCATGATTGTTCGTACTTAAAAAGCAAAAATCCCTGCGATGATTAAAATTATTTTAACTACTCTAAGAGTTTTCATATTGTGATATTATTACACTATGTTGTACTAGTTGGGGGCTACAAATTAGCTAAAGCATTGTGCCTTCCGACAGCACCAGAGCGAACAATCTCCTTAACCCGAAGCCGTGCACTCTGCAGGCTTTCATACTGGGTGTCACGGATTTCAAGATTCAGACTATCAGACGGGGTTTCAGGGGTTTCAGTGCAGACCTTAGTTTTTGACCAAGGTGCTTTCGGGTGCATGGTGTCAGGGTGAATTCTGGTGTTTAGGGTTTAGGGTTTAGGGTACATGTTAAATTCTTTGCAGGTGGCCAGAGCCCTTTCTTCATGTTGTCCTTGTTCCTGTCGCTTCCGCTTTGGGAGCAATATCAGGAGACTGAAGAATTATACTATTTCTCAGGGTTCCTGACGCCGAGCCCATAGAAACCCTATCAATCCTGTCGCACCTTTATGGGAGCAGAGGCTCGAGGGGCATGCCCCTTACTACCCATATCGTAATATCAACCCCATGGGTCGGGAATTTTTCAGAATCAGAATGGTTTAGGGTATATGGGGGTTTACGTTGACATGCTTCTTTAGTTGGAAAAGGTGTTCCAGCCCGCGCGGTTTAGGGTTGCGTTGTTTTTCGGTTTAGGGCTTAGCGTCTGAGGGTGCCTGGGGTTTACTGCGTTGTTGCCACCACAGCGCCATCGGCAGGCTTCTACTGTTGGGGTGGCACGGAACCGAACCGCCAGTGTGCACGCGGTGCATTCGCGAACGAAACTGGCATGACGCTCGTCTGTCAATGGGTAGAGGTTTAGTTCATCGTTCAGGGGTCCACTCTAAACCTTAAACCCGCATTGAGGTTATCATGGGCTTAGACGGGTTTAGGAGTGTTGGGGGAGGGAGATGGCTCAAAGTATGAGTCCGAGTAGTTGGGACTCTTGGCTAACACTCGACATCCTGGGCCCTATAAGGCAGTACCTAAAAAAACAGAACATGTATTAAGGAAGAAGTGCCCAACACTTCTAAAGAGGCTGTTATTCTACATGCTTTTGGGGTTCGGGGAGGCTCGTTCAACTTTCGGAGCAAGCTACGCATGTACCGCAGAGTGCGGCATTTTGTTTTGTCGTGAAGTAATGGAATATCGATGTTGGGTTCATGTCAAGGCCTTTCAACTCAAAGCCCGAAGCCGTACGGTCTAACCTGCATGGTCGAGCTTCTGCGAGAGCTCCATCAGGGAGTGGATTGCGATGCCCTCCACGGATGTGTCGATGAACTTCAACGCACTGCATTTACCCGAAGCTCTGCACACAGTCGACCGGGAGCATGAGGAAGAATATGTACAGGAAGCTGTGCCGCAAGATCAAGCACACTGCGGTGAGCATAGTCAAGTCATGCGTGAACTCCGACAAAGGGAAGCAGGCCCTCTCTTCTGTTTTGATGTACAGTCGCAGCCCCAGCTGAAATCCTTGAGCAACACGACAAAACCCGGCTTCCCTCACGCCCAAACCGAATCCCTACCGCCATGCGCCCAAAGCCCTACTCCCGGATCCTAAACCCCTAAAGCCCTAAGCCCTACACCCCAAAACCCCAAACTTTTCAACCCTAAACCCGAAAGCCCTGCACGCTAACAGCTCTCAGCCCTACCCCAACTGAAGCCAAGCCGCCGAAGCCGACTCCCGAAGCCCAAACCCCAGCCAAAAACTCTGAAGAAACGCGACACTCCCGACCTCCGAAACTCGCATCCCCAAGCCTCCAAACTCCAAGCCCAAAGCACTAACCACCACACCCCTAAACCCTAAACACCACGCCCCTTGACCCTAAACCCAGAAGCCCCCAAAACCCCAAACTTCCCGAAACCCACAGCACTTATCTCCGAATCCCGGAGACGAAACCCTAAAGCCGTAAACCCGGAAACCCCCAAGGTCCTTAAGGCCTACCCATAGGTAGTTCCTTTTGTGGTTTACATTTACAATCCTATAAGGTAGTCCCAAAAAGGAACTACTTAGGGGCCTATGGATAAGCCCGAAACCGTAATGGAGTTGAGGGTGTGGGGTTTGGGGTTCAGGGTTTCGGGTTTGGGGTCTAGGGGCTTAAACTTAGGGGTTTAGGGTTTAGGGCAACCTAAACTCTACGATCTCAGCCCTTACCTATAGTCTCTATTGTAGTTCCTTTTCTTGGTTTAACCAATTCTATATTGAGGATCCGAAAAGGTAACCCCAAAAAAGAACTACAATGGAGAATATAGCTAAACCTAAACCCTAAACCCTAAACTCTACGATCTATAATCCCTAAGCCTAAACCCTAAACCCTAAACCCCGTCCGTCCCAGGGTGAACTGCACTCTCTGCCCCTTTGGCAGCTTCGCCGCCGAAGTGACTCGACCCAAGCCTATATTTCATACTGGGTTTTAGGGGTCTTAGGGCTTCAGGGTTTTAGGGTTGGGTTTAGGGGTTTAGGGTGTTTTGGGGTTTTTGGGCAATTTTAGGGCTTCACGGTTTTAGGGTTTTTTGGTTTAGGGTTTTAGTTTAGGGTTGGGGGTTTTAGCGTTAAGGGTCAAGGCTTGGGCTAAAGGGGGTTTAGACTGGTATAAGCCCAACGGGTCATGAATAATGTACCGTTGTGTCTAATAGGGCTTGTGGAAGTCCGGCAGGAACACAGTCGTAGCGAATGTGGGGAGCATAGGGATCAGGATTTAGGCTGTAGGACGCCTGCATGATCAGGGATGTTAGTGTTCAGGACTAGGGTTCGAAGGTCCAGTCTCTGGGAGCTACACGTTAGGCTTTAGGGTTCAGGTTAAGGATTTGGGGTTTAAGGTTCAGGTTTAGGATTTAGGGTTTAGGGTTTAGGGTTCAGGTTTAGGATTTAGGGTTTAGGGTTCAGGTTAAGGGTTTAGGGTCTGGAGAGTCCAACAGATTTGAGGTAGGCTCCTCGCACTTGGTCCTTGGAGGGTTGAAAGACCAGGACCCTTTAAGTACCCTCAAACAGGGGTATATGGTCCCAAGTTAAGGGTATTTAGGGTCTTGTAGAGGGTAGATGGAGGGTCTAGGTAGATTTGGGCCGCCGCGGGGCCCAGTGTACTCATTGGACCGTCTAGGTCCTCTAGTAAAGACTCCCTCAGCCCTTCAAACATCATGCGATGCTGTGACCTCGATGTCAACCCTAAACCGCGTAAGCCCGAAGCGCACAATGTTAGAATTTTGGGGGTTCCTTACTTGAATTACAAGACGCCTGAACCCTGATCCCTCGAACTGCTTTGGCGGGAGGTCGGCTCTGCTGCGTGCAGCGCTTGCCTATCAGGTGCGGTTCAAGGGTTTAGGTTGGATACTGCCCCCACTCAGTAAGAGTTGAGCAATATTCATAATATAGGCATATAAGGCCCTTGATAGTAGCCGTACTATAGACTGTGACTTTATGGGGGCAGTACCCAAGGTTTAGTAGAGTTTATAGGGTTGCAAGCTATGAGATGAGATTCTCAAGGGCCTCTTGGGCTGAGGTGTACCCAAAGGGTCCAAAGGACCTGATAATTAGGTACTTGGTTTACGGATAATGGTTTTGTAGTTGAGTATTTGGGAGAGTATATGATTATTAGGTACTTGGACCCTTAGGGGTACTTGACGGAAGCAGGTTGAGATGAGGTTTCATCACAGCTTAAATCTGTGAACTTGAAAAGTAATGTTCCTTGCTTTTCATTCATCACAGTCATCACTCAATTGCTCAGTGCCAGCTTTGACCGGACCTGCAGCAGTTTGGCTCTGTCGATCGCTTGTACGTCCCGTTTACATTCACATCGAACGTTTGCAGTGGAGATGTGTGCAAGATGGCGCAGCTCGAGTGCGTGCTGCCGGCTTGTGCCCAAGCTATGGCCCAAGTACAACCTCGACACAGGTGAGCAACGGCTTGCTGTTCTTTGCACTGTCGTCTACCTGCTTGTTGCGGCACTCTGGGGCTGGGATCAGTATCGGCTCGTCCAGTATTCCACGGAGCATCCAACTTTCAGCTATAATGAGGGATCTTTCGCCGACGAGGTGATGCCACAGTTCAACATTACAATCATTCCTCTCACTAACTTCAACAGACAAAAGTACAACTGCCACATGGGCAGATCCCAGTTCCAAATCTACTTCGTTGGCGGCAATCGAAGTGTTTACATTGATACAGACCAACTCCCTATAGATCATTTGAAGTGGCACGATTTTGGAGGGGACTCCGTTCATACAGGGCTCTATTATACCGTCCTGCCTCTACCATTCCGCTTCGCCTTCCGGAGACGGTCTGCGGGGGCTGTGGAAAGCTACCAAATATTGAATGATTGGTGGCTGCAAGGCCAAAAGTGCTTTGATGGCTCCTTCCAGCCGACAGAGTGCCCCCGAGAGTCCTCGCGGGTGGACTTCTACTACACCTTTCATCAGAATGTCGAGAACGACACTGCGCATTGCATGCCGGACATCCGCGATCTCTTCTTGACCTCAGCTGACGCAAGAGAGGTGCTTGAGAAGGCCACTGCGTCGATGACCTTTGATTTGGTCGCCTCTCCAGGGAGCATCGTGCCGATTCTTGCAAGGTCCTTCAGGGGTGGGATGTTCATCCCAGCAAATCCTACACCTGACAGGGGGTGCCGCACCGTTCTGCCAGTGTCAAGTGTCGAGACCAACAGGTTGGGTAAAATAACACGTGGAACGGACTTCGAAGAGTCGATGCAAGCAACAGTTCAAGGGGTGTCATTTGAACCAGTAGAAGGCTTCTGTGGCATGACAATGATCCCTCTGACAAAGAAGACGGCCACCTACTACGCACAGTACGGCCCACTGGACGCACTGACCCATTGGTTCACGGTCATGCACGCATGCTTAGCAGTCGTCTTCTGCCTCTTCAAGTCTTCGCCAATAGTTCCCTATTATTACAGACACTAGGTGGCAGTTTAAGAAACCTTAAAATCTCCCTTATGGTTCTTATAGAGGTACCTATTCATAAATACTTTTCAGGGCCCCAAAACTAGAACCCAGGACAAGGGCGCTGGGCCGACGCCTACCGAAAGTTACTTGACGGTGCTGCGCAGCGTGATCTCGAGCTCCAGGGCATAGAAGATCCTGGCCACATGTCTGCTCCCGGGCTCTTCATGTCAGAGACATCGGAGACCCCACCCTGATAACGGAGTTAGGGTTTAGGGTTTAGGGTTTGGGTTTAGGGTGTAGAGGGTTTAGGAGCTTAGGTTTTAAAGCAGCTGTTGTTGGACAGGTCGCTGACTGGAAAATCACTTTGTTGTGAGGGGGGGGCCTAGTTCCCTGTGCTCCAAAGCCGTCCCATCAAGCCCGCAGAACCGCCCCAGACGCTCCTGACCATAAGTCTTCGTCGTCCGGGTTTGTTCAGGTCTTGGGGCATTCGAGGCCCAGGGTAAATGAGCCTTGGGTTGGATCAGAGGTTCGGTGTTTGGGCTTCGGCTTGATGAAAGGGTCGGAAAAACTTAGCAAGACCATTCAATAGGGCTCCACGCGTTGTTATTGCTATACCGCACAAAAAGCCGTATTCTACTTGTCAAGGGCCCTATACTGAAGGGTTTCGGGGGGGAGGGTTCGGTGTCATCCCTAGCATTCCCCCTAGAAGGAACCTTTTGTCACAAGGTCTGAATAACTAGTGATGTTAATGTTCCCACGTAGTCTAAGCCTCAAAGCCCCTCTGGTTTTTCAGGCTTCTAAACCCTAAACCCTAATTCTCTACGAAGCTGTGGGGATTGGGTGTCCCTGGCTTGGGGGGGTTGCAATTCAACTAGCAGATTCTCGGGCTCTAAGCATTCATATAGACCCAAGTCCCTTGGACGGCGCACCACAGCGCAGCAGCCACAGTGAACAAAACCCTAAAGGTCCTAAATCCCAGACCCCAAACCCTACAGCCTAAACCTAAACCCTACTGAGAAACCTAGATGTTAAGCGAGTCAGGGAACTGCTAAGGGCTCCATCCTGAGGGTCTTCCAAAGATCTAGCACTATGATTTAACCGTGGGTGTGCATGGCCAGGGTTATGATTGTCAATGAGTAGCTGCCTTTTGTAAATGCGGAAATTTGTGAAAGGCTCAAGTCTAAACCCAAAGCACCTGGACGCGAGATTCTGCAACGACACCTGTGAATTTCCGAGTCTGCTGAGTCGATCTTTAGGTGCAAGAAGCATCATCTCAAGGGAGCGTCATGGGTTATATCAGTTGTGTCGTTATATCAGTTATATCTTTATGTCGCGACTTGACAAAAGCTAATCATGTTGGCCATCACGCTCATGATATGTCTTGCACATATTCACCTTATAAAATGCAGCTGCAGCAGCCCCTGTTGAACGAGTGGGTGGGTCTTTATCACAGGCTAGCCGTGCATCGTACTATACCCTAAAACCCTGAACCCTGAACCCTAAAAGCCATCCCCAGTACCGTGCTGAGGTTAACCTTCGATCGTGCAAGCCTGTACACCCCAACTNNCCTGAACCCTAGACCCTGAACCCTAACCCTAAAGCCTAATCCCTAAACCCTAAACCCAAAGTCCTAAACCCCACACCTTGAACCCTAAACCCGAATCCCTAATCCTAAACCCAAAGTCCGAAACCCCAGCCCCTCTAAGTCCTAAACGCCCCAAGCCCTCTCAGCCCCAGTCTTGAAATAACACCCAAGCTTCAAACTTACATGGGTAGTTCTCTATATCAGGGTTTAGGGTTTAGGGTTTTAGGGTTTAGGGTTTAGGGTTTAGGCTCTATATTAGGGTCCCTTGTTAAGTAGGTCCCCAATATAGCAAAGCACCCTTATAAAAGGGACCCTAAAAAAGGGACCCTCATTTAGAGAACTACATTTAGAGAACTACCCACATACTCGCCTCAAAGCCGGTCTGGACAGCTATGAAATCCTCATATGCGGCATTCCCAAAGCCCACAATACACCCTGAATCCTGTCACTCACTCGTGCACCCCCAAAGCCGTAAACCCTAAACCCTAAACCCTGAACCCTAAACCCTAAACCCGAAACCCTAAACCCTAAACCCGAAACCCTAAACCCTAAACCCTAAACCCAAAGCCGTAAACCCTGAGACCCTCAAGTCCGGGGCCCTAAACCCTAAACCCCTAAGCCCTTATATGCAGGCTTCTACGCGGATGAGTTGGGGCTGGAGGTCTGCCGGGACCCGTCTGTTCGTTGAGTCTTTGTTCAGGGTTTAAGGTTTCTGGTCTTTCTGGTTTGCGCGACCTCCGTTCAGGGTTGAAGGTTTAGGGTTTAGGGTGCCTTTTAGTGCGAGTGTTCGTGGGATCCTGCCAGGGGTTTGTAAGGCTGTTGTAGGGCGTCGTAGGTGTTGAGGGGTCACGTGGAGAACAGAGGACCGAGTAACAAGTTTGTATGTCCTGAACCCTAAACCCCTAAAC